AAACTAATGTAATACTGTGTGTCAACTACCCTTCAATAAATAAATAAATAAATAAATAAATAAATAAATAAATAAATAAAAATTTTAAAAAGTTAAGTAAATGTGGAAATCCATTGATCAACAGTAACACATGAACATTAGGTAAAACTTAAGGTATCTGTTACTTGAGTTGACTAAATATTGTACAACCACCCGCCCAAACCCTAATAAAAAGTTACTTTTGATGTGCTCATATTTATTTATTATTTAGAAGTAGATAAAATGGTTAGAGGTAAGAGAGATATGGTAAGCATGTAAAGTAGTTGAATTAAATCAAATGAAAGGACATTCTGGCTCAGCCCAGTAGGATCAAATGCAGAAGATCCAGGCTGATTCCATCTCAAGAATTTTTTTTTAACTGAGATACTTCTTAAACCTGTCATGTGTATCTGCAAGAGAAAAAAAATACAGTTTTTCAAAAAAGTTCCAAAAAAAGGATGAAGAATTTGGCTTCATTCTTTGGAATCTGCAAAGAAAATCACAAATATCAAATGGCACTGAAATCAGCAGAATCCAAAGGAATATGAGCTTTTTATACCTGCAAGAAAAGCAAATAATTCTGCCCAAATGAAACTGGATATGCTGCCCTGGAGGAAGCCTAGGTCAGCTGTAAGTTTAGAGAGAGCAGGAAGGCCGATATGTCTTGGTTTTCCCTGTACCATGTCATAGCACATCCAGCCTTCTTAGGATAAGGGATAAGTACTCATTTTTTTCTCACCCCTAGGATACCCAGTACAGATCCTTGAGCAACGTGACAAACATTGGCCCTGGACAGTAAAAGAATATAAAGCAATATTTGAAATAGTTTCATCAGGACTTTAAAGTATTAATCCAATCCCTTCTCTTACTGTCAGTATATTCAGGGGAACTTTTTTCCCTGAACTTTTTTCATTTCCTCATCTTTAAAATATTTAATTCATAGACTTACCATAAGATTTAAATTATATCATGTATCTGAACTTTATACTTCAATGCTTGAGATCTATTCAGAGTCAAGGACTTTTGTAATTGGAGTTACATGGAAGTTGAAGTGCAGGGAAAAAAGAATGGGTTTAGGAAAGCTGTACCTTGACCCTCAGTGGATTTCCAAATTCCCATAAATATCCTGAATAACACTCAAAACATTCTATCTCAAAAGAAGAACTCCTTGTAATTTTTTAGTTTCAGAAAATTCTTTAAAAGAAACAGAATTTTCTGGTAAGAAATAAACATCAACAGTTTGACCTCATTGAGGCACTTACTTTGTTCTGTCCAGTGATACTCCTCTAAAAATGATTTTTCTAAGAAAGGCCAGTATTTCAAGAGCCATGTAGGTAACTCAGTATACAAGAAACTACATACTCCTCACTCCTCTGACATCTATATCTGTTGACTTGATTAGTAAAAACACAAGGAAGTAGAAAATAATGAAGGAAAACAGGGCTATTCATGGTCCCAAATATAGTTGCTGTGAGAACAGAGAACCCAGGGAATCCAGGGGACATAAGGAAAGCACTCGGTTGCAGTGGGCTTACAACAGAAAGAGTGGACTTACCCGACCAAGGGGCGGTAGCAGCAGCTTTGGTTGCAGTGGACGTAGTTGTAGTAGGAGCCCCAGTGGCGGTGGCAGCAGCCATGCGAGGAGCAACAGCGGCGCTGGTAGCAGCCATGCGAGGAGCGGCAGGGGCAGTGGTGGTAGCCATGCGAGGAGGCCTGGTGGCCATGGCAGCAGCCATGCGAGGAGCGGCAGCGGCGCTGGTAGCAGCCATGTGAGGAGCGGCAGCGGCAGTGGTGGTAGCAGCCATGTGAGGAGCAACAGCGGCGCTCATAGCAGCCATGCGAGGAGCGGCAGCGGCAGTGGTGGTAGCAGCCATGCGAGGAGCAGCAGTGCTGGTGAGGGCGGGGTGAGCTGAAATTAGGAAGAAATGTTCCAGGTGAGACCCTTGTCTCTTCTTCAGGGAGCACAGTTTGTCCCACAAGTGCTTGGACGTACATGCCCCAATCTTAATTCTCTGCAAATGTCATCAAATCTGGCATATCTTTAGCCTGGCTGCCCTCTTTCTTCCGGCCTCATTTTTCCTAGTCCTGTCCATATTGGAACAGAAAGATCTGGGGGATTCCCTGCCACAACTATGAGACTGATATAAATTACTGACTGATACAAATAATTTCTCCTAGTTCAAAGGACAATATATACACTCCCATGAGAGGGACTGAAGCCTCAACGCAACAAGGAAACCCTAGTGGAGTGACATTAGTGCCTTCCCACGGACAGCTTGGAACAGAATGGTTGCCGTTGCAGCATGGACGTGTGTGAGTAGAGGGGTAGGCTCTAGCGGAGAAAAGAGAAAAGAATAAGATATATCTCGCGTGACAGTGATAGTATGAATGCAGTAAATCTTCCCTCAGCTTCTGCCCTGAAAGGACATCAAATTTGTCCCATTTGGAGTGTCACCTTGGACCCTATCATCCACAGCAGTAATTTGAGAGCCACACTAGACACAAAGGGAGACAACGGTACAACAGTGGCAATAATAAAAATGAGCAAATGCCCAGTCATTCACCCCATGATCAAATGGTTCTTGGCAAAAGATTTATGACATCTATCACTCTCAGTACCTTAATTCACAGTTACTGACAAAAACAAGAGTCAGGTCCCACATTGTGAATTCAGTTCAACTGAACAGCTGAGTAGCTCCATCTCCATCCCCAGCTCTAGCCATGCTGTCTCAGCCCTTATCCAAGAGAGACCATGTTTTTTTGTGCCCCACGTGGCAGATAGGATATGCAGCGTGGTGTGTGCGGTTAGACTAGAGTCTGCACCTCATGACCAAATGATACAAGTCCCCGAGCTGTGGAGGGTGAAGAGAGAGACACTCCTAATGGATGATGCATCAGCACAACACACACAGCACAAGATGTGAAGGACACTGTGCCAGAAGCCCAAGGGTGGCTAGGGGCTTTGGTCCACAGCCTTGGGTTTCAGGTCAGAGAAGGAAAATAAACATCAGCATGGGCTGAGGCATACATACCATTACAAACAGCAAAGCTTAGGGCCCTTCTTCTGCTTGACCCTACATTTTACATTCTGCATCCCACCCTCCTATGTAATCCTAATGCCCTCATTTCTACATCACCTTCAGCAATTATATTCTCTTCCTTCTTTCTGGGACTAATAGGTCCATCATTTACATACTGGCCAAATACTCAGCCCTTCATTTTAGGGTAACCAGAAATACTTGAAGTGCATCTACCAAAATTCCCAGAACACAACATCACAACCCAATTCTCTGCCCTTCCTGCTGCAGAAAAACAAATGATTAATCCACAATTTACATAAATCCAGGCCTGAGATTTCATGTTTCCTAATAACACAGAGGAAATGAGCAGATTTTCTAAGTTCACAATGAACTTTGGAATCAGGAATATGCCTCTCCCAGGCTTCTGCTTAGGCTTCCCGATGTCCTGTCCCCATGGTAGCTTTGATATGAGGCTGGGAGAAAATGGTCATTGCAGGAGGGAGATGAAGTCCAAGTACTGACTAACCAGTAGAGGTGTCAGAGGGAGCAGCTGTTGTAGCCTCTGCGGGAGAAAAAAAACAGAGATGTAAGTTAAACACCACTTTTGTGGGAGAGGGAAGACAGAGTATGGACAATGTTGCTGACTTTCACAATTGAAGAACCTGAGTCTTTGGGGCACACCTGAAGGAGAAAAGGTACACAAATAACATAATGCCCACAAATGCCCACATTTTTGCTTTCCTGAAATAAGCCTCCAATTACCTTTGTAACATAGTTTACTAACATTAACAATGAAGTTGGGCTCCAAAGTTAGAGCTGAGCAGAACTGCGGCTAAATGAAAAGCCTAATGGCAGAGTCAATTCTACCTTAAATGGTCAGTCAAAATGAGGAAGGAACAGATGCACAGAGTAGAGAACAGGAGGTGCCATCGTTCTGGCTACCCTCAAAGTCATGTCCACATGGAGCTCACATCTTCGTGCACTGTCCCACCAAACTTTATGTTTAGCTAACACATTTTACTTACGGCCAGAGACCAAGAACATGGAAACCACCACCAGTCCCAGGAACGCCAAGAGCTTCATGATGGTAAATTGAGGAGCAGGGAGCACAGACAGGAAAGCTCCAGAGCCCAGGAGAAGGTAAGGCTCTGACTCCAGGGATCCCCATCCTGACATTATATAGACAGAGAACACCAATCAGGAGCTGCCAGATAGGAATCTGAGTGAGTTAATGCCAAGCAATGTTGGTATTCAGAGAAGCCACTGGAAAATCAACAGCACAGCCAGAGGCTCTTTGCAAAATCATACTTTCAAGCCCTTGGCTCTGGCACAGGTTTCAGTCAAGACTATCTTATATTAAATAGTTTTCAGGCAATAACTTTTCTTCCAGGCTTCCTCTTACCCTGTATGGTAAAGTCACACCATGACTAACAAGCTGGAGAAGCCTCACACCCAGCACCCTGATTTGCAGAAATCTGCAGTGCCCCTTTCATAGATATTAGAAGTTTTAAACTCACAGATTGCTAACCCTATGTCTCCTCAATGGGAAGTAATCGGAATAGAGCAGCTGGAACTAAGAACCATCCTCTGTAAGTCAAGCTGTGCATTTTTCCACTATGACCTCCATCCTGTACATATAGTTAGGGTCATCTGACACTCATAAAGGGTGAGCCCAAAACTGACATGATCTCTCTGGATTTAAGCAATTCCTGTGTAAAACTTCAAACTCAAACAGAAAGAAGAGAGGAAAGTAAACATTTTTTGATTAAGGCATCCACTGAATCAGTTCACTCATTTGACTAATATTCCTTGACTGCCAGGTTTGGGAGACAGAGCAATGAGCAAAGCACACAAAAAGTCCATTCCATACATCCTATTGGGGGAAGTCACACATTAAAAAGTAACTAGGAAGAAAGGGAGGGAGGAAAGGAAGTAGGGAGGGAGGGAGAAGGAGAACAGGACAGAAAAGGAAGAAGGAAAACCATGTGTCCTCTGTAAAGTGATAAGACCTGATAAATTATAATACAGGAAAGAAAAGAGAGGATTGTTGGATATGGAAACCGAGGTGACAATTTTAGATAAGGTAGGCAAAACACTGACACTTAACAAAACCTTGAAGATGCTGAGGAATCAACCATGTCATATCTTGGGAAAGTGTATTCGAAGGAAAGGAAACAATGGGTGCCAACGCATTGCAATCTTCCACGTATCTGTAGTTTTTGTGTAGGACACAATCCTGATCCAAGATACGTCAAACCACTTGCTCTTCATTGTAAGACACCCAGATGAAGTTAACACAACAAGGAAGCAAAAACATCCATATTCACATCACAACCAAGTGTGCAACCCTGCCAGGATCCATGCAGGGGAACCTAACAGCCCCTGGAATACCTAGAATAATGAGAAGTCACTACATGCTGAAGGTTTCTCTGCAATTAAGGGGCCCTAGGGTTTAAAAGTTGTTCTTGTTCACACCAAGTAAGCCTTTTTTTGTAACACACCATCAACTCTGTCATCTGGAATATTTTTTCTTTTTGCTTTGATTGAAATACCTGGAGTGTATAACACAGTGTAAGTTTAATGTGTTATAACATCTTAATTTGGTACATTTCTATAGTGTACTATGACTGCCATTGTAGCAATTATTAGCACCAGTATCATGTTACATAGTGATCATTTCTTTTAATGGTTAGAATGGTTAAGTTCCAGCCTCTTAGCAAGTTTGATGATGATAATACAATATTATTGTCTATATTTACATACTGTACATAGGGGGCTTACTGATCATCAGGGAAATACAAATCAAAAGCACAATGAGGTGCCCCCTCACACCTGTTAGGATAACTATCATCAAGAACATGGAAAAGGTGTTGGAAAGGATATGGAGAAAAGGGAACCCATGTACATTGCTGGTGGGAATGCAAACTGGTTGAGCCACTATGGAAAATAATATGGAGGTTCCTCAAGAAATTTAAAATACACCTACCATATGATCCAACAATTACTCTTAGAGCATGTAACCAGAGGAAATGAAAACAGATATCCAAGACATACATATATATACACTCCCATGTTTATCACAACATTATTCAAAATAGCAAGATATGGAAACAACTCAAGTGCCTATCAATGGATGAATACATAAAGAAGATATATATATAAAATAGAATATTATTCAGCCATAAGAAGAAAGGACACCTGGCATTTGCAACATGGATAGACCTTGAGCACATCATGCTGACAATAGTCAAAGACAAGCACTGTCTTTTTAAAAATCATTTTGTATTACACACTCACATGTGGAATCTAATAGAGGCAAATTCATGAAAATGGAGACTAAAATGGTGGTTAACAGGGAATGGGGGTGCAGGGATAGGACAGGTGTTGCTTAAGGGTGCAAACTTGCAACAAGTAGTACATGAGCCTACAGATCTATTCCCTCTCTTATAGGCGAGTCTATCAGGCAACAGCCACTCTGCTTCCCAAGACACGCTAGTTTATCCCCATCAGGAAAACGGAGAAAGGCAGAGGGCAGTTCCTGAGAGTGGTCTTAATCTCTGAAGGGCAAACAGAAGTCCTGGTCACAGGTAACCTCACTTCTGCCATGAGGCACAAGGTTGTCATACCATGGTCATTCCATAGGGTTATACCATAGAAAATACCCCAAAATAAAAATAAAACAAAAAAAAATCCATATCCTGAAGAGAAAGAGAAAAGAAAGATTAAAAGAAGTAAAGAACAACCATAAAACTCTTAGAAAAAAACATAGGCAAAAATCTCTTGGGCATAAACATGAGCAACTCCTTCATGAACATATCTCCCCAGGCAAGGGAAACAAAAGCAAAAATGAACAAGTGGAATTATATCAATCTGAAAAGCTTCTCTACAGCAAAGGACACCAGCAGTAGAACAAAAAGACACCCTACAGTATGGGAGAACATATTCATAAATGACAGATCCAATAAGGGGTTGACATCCAATATATAAAGAGCTCATGCATCTCAACAAACAAAAAGCAAATAAGCCAATTAGAAAATGGGCAGATGAGCTGAATAGACACTTCTCCAAAGAAGAAATTTCAGATGGCCAACAGGCACATGAAAAGATGCTCCACATTGCTAATTATCAGGGAAATGCAAATTAAAACCACAATGAGATATCACCCCATGCCAATTAGGATAGCCAACATAGAAAAGAATAGGA